TGTCGAATCGTACGGTGTCGAATAATTTGGTGTCGAATAAATCTGTGTCGAATCGAGCGGTGTCGAATCGTACTGTGGTCAAACGGAACCCGCCCATTAGATACACCAGCAGTGTACAAAATACCTTGTTCATGCGACAAAGTATACATAGGTTAAATTGGTAGACTGATACATACACGACTAAAAGACCATCAGTCGGCAGTACGTCTAAAACATTACTCACAGTCGGCATTAGCAAAACACCATTTGGAAACTGGTCACAAAATTATGTTTGACCAAACCCAAGTACTACACAAAATTAGGGCTTACTTCCCTAAAAAATATACAGAATCTATAGAGATATACAAACACATCCAAACAATCTCAATAGAGACAATGGACATATGACTAGTTCACTATGGCATTCTATCTTGCCACATACACATCCTCCCCTCCTTCTTACCATTCCACTTCTCTTCCACCACACCCCTTCCCTTCCACTTCAATCTAGCGCTATAAAAAGGGACACCTGACCAAGAGCATCTCAGTATCAGGCTGCTCTTCACACCCTGATGAAGTGAGCTGTAATGTTCACGAAACGTCGGTATTAAAATGACACTAACGCAGTTCAAACCCAAAAAAACATTTTTGTATGTTAATAATACACACCGCGAAAGCATCAAATATCAAATTAAGTACTTCCACGGGGAGAGTATTTTATCTAAAGGTAATACTTTTAGCAAATACTGGTCTTCTCTATCAAAACACCTGGCCACTTTAGCTTTTCTCAAAAGGTGTCGGGTCAATAACATCGTCCCAAAATTTATTCACATAAAAAACCATTTCGGCACAAAGAAAGCAAACAACATCTTGCAAAAAGCCGGTCTTCAACTAGTGAAAAAGCGCATTTCCCATATAACATATCAAATTTATCATATTTCTCAGAAACTATTCCATCTCCATCTGCATCTATCTGCCTGCATTAGGCCAGATCTGTAGCTTATACTAGACCGTATAACATACGAACAAGCAGAACGCATACATCTGCACTTATCTCAACAACAGATGAGAAAATATCAGAAACTAGCACCTCAAGAAACTACCATCCGTCCACTACTAAACACGGTAAAAAATCTGTCCAATAAAACCTTTTCTGCCTAAACGTTCTCAGCCTTGGCCAAAGGCCACAATTTCGCGGTAGCCTCATCTAAACTCCCAAAAGAGACAATAAGTAGTCATATAGAAACAGCCATACATTTTCTTCCCCAAGAACCTGCTAACAATATCCGCAAAATAGTGGCTACCATACTAAATAAATCAAAATTGCCACCTCATAATTTTGCTAGATCTGAACGCTGTTCTTGGAAACAAGTAAATCAAGACACAGATATTATTATCCTTTTAGCAGATAAAGGCAATACAACAGTGATCATAAATAAAACAGAATATGACACTAAAATTCAGACATTACTTACAGACTCCACATATAAAAAACTTAAGAAAGACCCTACTGCTTCATTAAAAACTCTTACCACCAATTTCATTAAGAAAAACAATCTCCCAGACATGTTAATACCCAGAAACGCGGTACCACCTAGACTATATGGACTACCAAAAATCCATAAAAACAACATACCCCTCAGACCCATAGTAAGCGCTATAAACTCACCTACATACAATCTAGCTCGCTTTCTGGTCAGCAAACTAGAACCTCTCACCGGTAAAAGTGACATTACGATAAAAACCTCATCTGACTTTATTTCTAAAATCAAAAATAGTATACTTCAACTTAATGACATCTTAGTCAGTTTTGATATTGTGTCCCTGTTCACGCAGGTACCAATCCATGACACCATTAACATAATTAAATCTTCAGGTCAACTATCATCCGACCTTATATCATTGGTAGAACATTGCCTGACCACAACCTATTTCACCTACAATAACCAATTCTATAAACAAATCACAGGTGCAGCTATGGGATCACCGATATCTCCAATTATAGCAAACATATTTATGAAACACTTCGNATCCCAGGCCATCAAAAAAGCNCCACTAAAGCNNCAAACATGGTACCGGTACGTAGATGACACCTTTGTCATTTGGCAACATGGGGAGAGAGAACTCTATAACTTTTTAGACTTTCTTAATAAACAACACCCAAACATTACCTTCACATTAGAAACAGAACAACATGGTAAACTTCCATTTTTAGATGTTCTGGTCACAAGAAAACCAGACGGCTCTTTAGGCCGTCAAATCTATAAAAAACCCACCCACACCAATCGATATTTACACGCGGCATCACATCATCACTCAGCCCAAAAACAAGCTGTGATACACTCGTTGATTTATAGACCATTTACTATATGCGACAAAGACAGCATTCAAAACAAACTCAAAAAAGTAAAAGACACTCTACAACAAAATGGTTACACACTGCAAGAAATAAACAAAGTAATTAAAAAACATCAAAATGAGCCCTCTCAAAATACACCAGCATTAGAACAAACAACAAACTTAAAGAAACAAACCACATTTCTCCCATACATAAAGGGTGTCACAGATAAGATCTGCAGAATCCTGAACAAACACAACATACAAACGGTCTACAAACCACCGAATAAACTAGGACAGATTCTTAACAATTCAAAAGACAAAAGACCGCTATTAGATACACCAGGAGTGTACAAAATACCTTGTTCATGCGATAAAGTATACATAGGTGAAACTAGTAGAATGATAAGTACACGACTAAAAGAACATCAGTCGGCAGTACGTCTAAAACATTACTCACAATTGGCCTTAGCAGAACANTATTTGGAAACTGGTCACAAAATTATGTTTGACCAAACTCAAGTACTAAACAAAACTAGGGCTTACTTCCCTAGAAAATATACAGAATTTATGGAGATATACAAACACATCCAAACATTCTCAATAAAGACATTGGACATATGACTAGTTCACTATGGCATTCTATCGTGCCATAAACACATCCTCCCTTCCTTCTTACCATTTCCCCCCTCNTCCACCACACCTCTCTTTTTCCATTTCNATCTAGCGCTATAAAAAATGACACCTGACCAAGAGCATCTCAGTATCAGGCTGCTTTTCAAACCCTGATGAAGTGAGCTGTAATGTTCACGAAACGTTGGTATTAAAATGGCACTAACGCGGTTTAAGCCCAAAAAAACATCTTTGTATAGAGATTAGATCATTTTTTTGCTGAGAAAAAAAATAAAAAGAGAAAAAAATTATAAAAAATTTTCAAATTAAAGAATAAATTAAAATTTGCTTTGTACCCTAAACAAATAAATTTTAATAAATTTATTTTTTAGTGTTACTTATATAGTTGTGTTTGTTGAAATACATTTAATAAGTGTAATAAATAATTTAGTAAAATAAAGAAGAAAACACGTAAGTAAATATCACTTATTAATAAATTTAATAAAATATAATTTTCTTTGCTAAGGTAAAGTTAAATTATAAAATTATTATTATTATAAAAGTATGTTTATTATTTTGTATATGCGATGTATCACCATGTTAAATGCACTCCAGTGCTGTTGAAATGATTGTTTTGGTCAAAATCAAGCCAAAAATGTATAAACAAATTTAATATGTTTTAACAAGTCTTCTTTATTTTCTATAACTTTATTTACTATAGAAAGTTAATATTATAAAATTATTACCAACGCGAAATTATAATGGCCGATAGGAGTTTTACGCTGGATGTTTATTGCGTAATATACTCGGTAAAAAATATTTTATATTTCATTATATTTAATTATATATACTTATACACAAATTAAAATTATTCTATCTAATTATGCAACTTGATATGTGTGTGTGTGTGTGTGTGTGTGTGTGTGTGTGTGTGTGTGTGTGTGTGTGTGTGT